AGATAGGCCTCAGTGGAGCAAAGTTTGTTGATATAAGTTATGGAATCCCGTTGGTAACATAACTATGTGGTACAAGCCCATTATTCCAACAAATTGAATTGTATGGCAAGCAAGCCCATTAAGAAATATTTGCTTTTTATTTCTCTTTTTCGATACAGCTCTGTTATTTTTCCTATAAAGATTAGAATTATGTCGAGGCACAGACAGATTTTGTTCAATACTTGTAACTACTCTTCGTTCCTGCAATAAAGTCTGTTATTTTTTTACAATACGACGTGTGCATTCATTATCTTATATCGGTAGAAAAAGGTCATATTACCGCGTGCTCGTCGATGTGAAAAAGTCATGAGGCTACCGATAAAAATTTTTTGGTGCACGAAATCCCAGACTAAACGTCCCTCTTACATTTATACGTAGCTTCCTTTTCTACTCTTTTCCTGACAGTCAATCGCCCGCGTTCCAAAGCGGAAAATGCGACGACGCGCTTACTGGATTCTCATGGAAATATTCCGACAGCTGAATTTCACAATTCTGCACCGTATCTACATACACGTATATTAAACTAGGCGGTAGATGTCAAAGGGCAGGAACTTAGTAAAAGGTCAGGTTCACCTACGTATTGTCCGTCAATCAGTGAAATTAGTGGTGCAGAAGACACATCTATCAATTGCCAATAACACTGGACAACAAATTGTAGTTTTTTAATTGTATCTTGTGGGAAAAGTGCACTTCTTTGTTAATTTTGGGGCGCTGAATCCAAAAATGACAATGAAATAAACAAAATTCGTTGCGGTTTAGAAAAAAAAACTTTCTATTTTTAAGGATATATTAAAAAAAAGTAACAAGATTCATATACTTATAAGAATCACTATATGCGCTGTCTTTTTGCTGTTCTTTTATGGATCGTTTCTGGAGCATCTCTACCAAGAGTCCAACAGTAGTCTGCAAGCATGGAAGGATTCCACTTTCCCTGGTACCTTTTTTCCATTGTTGAAATATCCTGATGAAAACGTGCGCCGTGCTCATCACTTACGGCTCCGCAATTGTCAGGAAAAAAGTCCAGGTGTGAGTGTAGGAAATGTATCTTAAGAGACATATTACAGCTCATCTTTTGATACGATGACAGCATATTTTTGACAAGGGTTTTATAGTTGTCAGCTTTTCTATTTCCCAAGAAATTAGTGACCACCAGACGGAAATCATTCCAAGCAGTTTTTTCAATACCTGTTAAAGTGTTTTCAAACTGTGTATCTTTCAAAATATTTCGAATCTGTGGCCCAACAAAAATACCTTCTTTAACCTTTGCCTCACTTAGTCTTGGAAATTTCTGAAGCAGGTATTGAAAAGCTGACCCATCTCTATCTAATGCCTTGACAAAGTTTTTCATTAGGCCCAACTTGATATGCAGTGGTGGTAATAAATTTTTTTTCGAATCTACTAATGGCATATGCTGTACATTTTTTTGACCTGGCTCTAGGAATTGACGAACAGGCCAGTTTTGTCTGGTGTAATGAAGTGCCTTTGCCCGACTGTCCCATTCACACAAAAAACAGCAAAACTTTGTGTAGCCTAGCTGCAGCCCAAGTAAAAGTGCAACAACTTTCAAATCGCCACAAATATGCCATTGGTGCTCATCGTATTTTATGCATGTCAATAGGTACTTCATATTGTCATATGATTCTTTCATGTGAACTGCATACCCTACAGGAAGAGATGGTAAAATATTTCCAATATGCAATAACACAGCCTTTAAACTCAATGTTGAACTGTCTATAAACAATCTCCATTCTTCTGGGTTATAGTTTATATTTAAAGCCGCCAGTAAGCCGTTAATGTTACTGCAGAAAACCAAGTTATTCTCCATATTGAAAAATGGTTGTACGTCTTTGTGGCGTTTACGAAAAACACATAGCGGAACATCGTCTTCTAACAAGTTCCACTGCTGCAGTCTTGATCCAAGTGACTCTGCCTTACTTTTTGGAAGTTCTAAATCTCTTACAAGATCATTAATTCTGACTGTGTTATTTTGTGCGGTTGGTGGCATGACGTGCTCGGTATAAAATCAGGATCTCTTCACGTTGATGGCATATCTTCTTCCTGACGAATCACTCGATCGCCATGATCTGATTCGTTTTCTGATTCGCAAGTGTAGGATTCTGGGGGTTTTGGAATAGGATTTTCGTCACTGTGAGGCACAGGTCTTATCGCAGATGGTATGTTTGGGTAGTTAATAACCGATTTTTTTTTCTTGGACATACCTGTGGCTTGTCCAACACAAGGTACCATGCAAAAGTAACAATCATCAATATGATTTGTAGGCTCTCCCCAAACCATTGGGACAGCAAAGCGCATAGACCGTTTTTTGCCATTTAACCAGCTCCTCAGACTTGAAGCACATGTATTACAGCAGATGTCTTGATCACCTAGTTTACAATCGAAATAAAGCTGATATGCCTTTGTTATTAGTGAAGTAATAGACCGTCTCTGAGACGCAAAAGTCACATCACCACACACGTAACAAAACTGATCTGGATTGTTTACACACTTTCGAGACATCTTGCATGAACGCTGTCAGCCAACTGAGGAAAAAATGGCTAATATAAAACAATATAATGTACACGTATGTATAACGTAACACAATCATGCCGATTACATGATCTTTCCTTGCCGAATATAAAAATGTAGCACGTGCATTCTTGTGAATTACAGTATATTAACACTGTCACAGCAGGGACACATATAATTACCGTATCTCTAAAACTTGAACTAATATTGAAAAAATAAGTTTCATTTCGGTTTTAGCACATTAAAAATAGTAATATTTTTTTGATTTTATTTAGGATATTTTTTGGCTGTTGATCAGTGTAATTTGCTCTTGATTGAAGTTCGAAGCGATTTTGCTTGGCTGTGTAGTCTACTGACTCACACAACAGAGGGTTGCTGTACGATTCCGCTTGACTCCTAAGGTTTGTCTTCAATCTGGTACTAGAACCTACCTTTCATCTTCAATCGAATAAGACTGTACGGAAGCAAAGCTTCAAGGTTGATGTCATTCCAAGCACTCACTTATTTTGCGACTCTCACGGAATATAAAAAATGCATGGGGCTTATGAAGGAAAAATCCAATCAGTATTATATACTCTGCGACATTGAAAGCGGTTACTCCCAGAAAAAATATTTTTTTCAACTTGTTTGGATCGATAGCCACTGTTGACTGCATTGTAATGCTTGACAGCATTATAGGTGTAACTTCTTTCAAAGACCGAGGTATTGTGAGGAGGCATGTTAAAATTAGCATTAAATCTAAGAGCTCTGGTAACAAAACTACCTCGGTGAACTAATTTGCATGCGAGGTAAGCTGGTCTGTTAGATAGTAGAACTTTATGCGTGAAGACGGTCAAAAGATATAAAAATAACTTATCAATTCGCAATCAGTTGAGTTCTTTGATTTTATCTGAGACGCGATTAAACTTGCGCAATCCAAAAATAAACCTACAACAGCTGTTCTGAATTTTCTGGAGTTTCCTTAGTCGACGTAGTCTAAACATGGGTAATACAGAACAAGAGAGTAAGAAATGACAGACAACACAAGACTTTCAGCGAGGTTTTTTCGGGTTTTAAAATTCAAGATGTATCGATTAGAATAGAGGAGTTTCAAACGCAAATACGTTACTCTAGATAAGAAAGAGACATGCCGATCGAATCTCATATTTAAATCAAGGGTAACACTGAGATTCTTGGCGTAATCCACGAAAGGGATGAGTGTCTCATCCAAAAAAAACACAAATCCTCTGCTTCATTTCACGGTAGGAGTTCTTCGAACAGTACAACATTGCAGTAGTTTTATTGGGATTGATCTTCAAGCAGTGTTTGTTACAGTAGCCAAATCTAAATTAACTTTAAAAGAAACTTCATCAACCTTTGATGGATCGAAACCAAACACTAACTGAGTATCATCTGCATAAGTCTGCATACTACGGTGGACTGAACAGTCTTGCAGATCGATCGTATAAATCAGATATAGTAAGGGACCTAATACTGAGCCCTGAGGAACTCCTGAAGGAACTGGCTCAGAGGAGGAAATTCCCTGATCAGTTTTCACTGTTTTTTGACGATTTAGCAAGTATGACTCAAAGAACCTGACATTCCATAATGAGATAACTAACTCAGTAGTATCTGGTGATTGACCATATCAAAGGCTTTCGAGAAATCTAACAGTGCCAAGACGGTGTTGACGTGATTGTTTAAATTGTGAATGATGGAATCAGTAAGATGTAATAAAGACGAAGTAGTGCTGTAACCAGCTCTGAAACCTGACTGATGTAGAGGAAATAAGTGATTTTGTTCGAAAAACTCCACTAGTTGTGAGTAGACAGCTCTTTCGAGTATTTTTGATAGAAAGCATAATAAATAATAATACCATTTTCCAACTGGCAGGAAAGTAACCTGTTTCGAGAGAGACATTAATAATGTGAGTTATATGGTCTATGGTATCAGGCAAACATAAGCAAACCATATTTAAAGTTAGACCATCAGAGCCACATGCCGTAGACTTAATGTGAGAGATTATATTGACGATGTCTTGCTGAGTAAGGAGTTTAAAAGCAATCAGAGGTGCATCCGGTGTATGGCGTCTATCGCTATAAGAGTTAGAGACACTATCAATCAAATTTGGATCAGCTGCAGCTGTCTGGAAAATTGAAAGAAAATAATTGTTTAAAATGTAAGGCTCAAGGAGACTGGGAGGTATCGCAACATGTTTCTGGGCTACCACATTCATCCTCCTCAGGTGTTTCCAAGTTTAGATTAGTACAGATATTTATAGTCATTGCCCTTTCGTGAAAATCGTTTCATTTTTGATGTAGGACTACTTCATTGCCAAAAAATCAAATTGAAGAAATTATTTTTTTCTGGGTGTTACACTTGCGACTGAGTATATTTATATGATCACATCTTTTTCATTGCAGTGATCACTACTTCACGGCAGTGTCTTGGGTGAGCCTCACAGAAATCTCCGTGGTTTGGATGAATAGACCTCAAAACTTATCTGTCATCACGATATGTTCGAGTCCCAAGTGGGACTGCAGAGAGGTAAGCAATAAATTTCAGGAAATAGAGACGCGTTACCACACAATTTGACAGATTCAACGAGCTGGTATTGGAAGATACGCTACTAAAACTTGCGTTGAGCTAGAAACCATGGAGAATTCAGAATCCGCGGAAACTCAGCCGGTGGAAAATGTATGCAAAGTTATGAAACGGCTAAATAATTACCTGAATTGCAAACAAGCAGGTGGACAAATATTCATGTACACATGTAAACATTTTAAAACCCGTGTTATATTACCACGTACGTGTCCGTTTCGAGAATGATATTTGTACAGCATCATAACCAGAGCGTAAGGGAGGTATCTACTATTTGATAACGTTTACGTGGTCTATAAAAGTCGAATGAGTCAGGACTCAACATTTCAGTTAAATGTTACAGTTTATCTCGTACTTAATATCCAACGTTTGAATCAGTCGTCTGCGATTATCGCGGATCAAGATGCATCTATCAGATACTAAAACTGTTGACCAACCAACCTAAATTTTCATGAGAGCAAAATAATGTAACAAGAATGAACGGTACTACTAGCGCCATCTGTCGGTGACCCCGCCAAGGACTTTTCTTCGGCATCGAAGAGAGGTGCGAGACTGACCCCGAAGGTTCTGGAGTGGCCGAGGAATTAACGAGTACCTGCGATGCGAAATATAGGTGTACATGTATAAGCTGACGGCTGGTAGAGAGTACATTAATATTCTATACTAAGTGACATATAAATCCGAACACCCAGTTTAAATGGTTTTATTTTAATAAAATTTTGTATAAGTACTTAATGAAGCATAATAAGTAAATGATAAAAATTTCAAAATGATTGCACTGCTTTAAAGCCCTTTGACCTTTAATAATGTGTGGATGCACCCTGATGTGCTACGCATTCTCCAACGCGCCTGGGCATGCTTCTGATCAGGTGGTCATTGTCCTCCTGTGGTATCTCATTCCAGGCAACCACCAACTCCTCTCGAAGTGCTTCTAGAGTCTGAGGAGGACGTTGCAAATTGAGCAATCTCCTACCCATCATATCCCACACGTGCTCAATTGGGGATAAGTCGGGAGATCTTGGTGGCCATGGTAACAATGTGACATCATTATGTTGAAAGAAGTCTATTGTGACTCTTGCAACATGTGATCGGGCATTATCTTGTTGGAAAGTTGGATCTGCCAGGGTGTCAAGATAGGGTAAAAGATGGGGTTCTAGAACTTCGTGGATATAACGCTGCGCGTTCATGTTACCTCTGATGAAGATTAAAGGTGACCTGGAACCATAAGCTGTAGCACCCCAAACCATAACTCCAACAGTGTGATGAACATGTCTTTCAACAAAAAACTGTGGATTCCTCCTTTCGCCACGTCGCCTTCTAACCCTGGCACGACCGTCGTGCATGCCTAAACAAAATCGAGACTCGTCACTAAAGACAATACTGTTCCATTCCTGATCCCAGAGTTACCGTTGTCTGCACCACTCAAGGCGATTACGTCGGTGTTCTCGAGTTAAAGGGAGGACCCAGTGTGGTATGAAAACAAGCCAAAACTTCTCATTCGTCGGTAAACACTTCGCATGCCAATAGGTCTTCCGTGTTCTGCAAACCATTCATTTGCAATGGACCTGGTAGTGGAGAAACGGTCCCTTAAGGCCAATAATCTTAGGCGGCGATCTTCACGGTCTGTTGTTCTACGGCGGCGTTCAGTGCCCCTTGCTCTTTGCGTACGGCCTTCTCGAAGCCATGCCTGACAACACCTAACCACAGTGTCTACACTTCTTTGCACTCTAACTGCAATTGCCCGAAAAGAAAGTCCAGCTTCCCGAAGTCCCACTATACGGCGCCTATCAAACTCACTAAGTTGACGAAATCTTACAGGTCTCCGTACTCTAGGCATCGTAACCGATCGTAAAGGATGTCAAGAACCAAAATCCGCCAACGTTGATTCTTTACTGCGGCTGAAATATTCATTTTTAGAGCGTTAGTGAATTAAAAAAAAGCAGTATAAAAACCGGAATGTCCAACTGATAAGGCTGAACATTTTTTCACTTGTTATTTACAGTAAGATAAATACATTCACCGACTTTTATTAAAATAAAACCATTTAAACTGGGTGTTCAGATTTATATGTCACTTAGTATAGTTAGGTAAAAGTTAGTTGTGTTGTGTTGTAAATAAATTAGTGCATTTCTTTTTGTGGAATCACACCCAAAAGAATCCAGAAAAACGCTACAATAATATCACAATTTTGTGAATCTTACCTTCGTCAAATAAATACTGTGATATGGATAGAAAACACGCACAAAGCAGCTTATCTGAGAATGGACCAATAAAAGGCCACGCAACGGCCGAACGACCAATAACGGCGGAAGCCGGAAAAAGCGTTCATCATAAAGATAACGTAATCTAACAGGAGCCTTGCATATAGCATAGTGGATACAGGAGTATGCAGCCTAACAAAGAATTATTGTACATGAGGGACCCACAACGTGTGCGTATTGTTAAAACGTCTTAAATAATGAGTCGACACCGTCCGTCAGTTGGTACGGAAATTTGAACAAGCAGGTGAAGTTAGACTTGCCAAGGTCGGGCCGTGTTCAAACTGTTCGTACTCCGAAAATATCGGGAGAGTTCGTGAAAGTGTAGTGGAGCGCCCTGAGACGTCTACCAGACATCGTTCTCAAGAACTGGGTATTCGTCGTACTATGTTCTTACGGCCATATAAAATTGAGTTAACCCAAGAACTACAGCCTGGTGACCATGAAAATTCCCGACAATACAGTCATGTAATATTGCAACTCATTACCCAAAATAATGATTCTTACCGACAACTGATAATGAGCGATGAACGGATTTGTAAATAAGCAGAATTGTCATATCTCGGCATTAGACAACCCTCGTGTCATCCATCAACGACCAGTACATCCTTGTCGAGTTACAGTTTGGTACGGTGTTTAGTCATTGTATCTTACTTCTCTGGAGACGCTGCAGGTAAATTCTCTTTTGTCACTGGCGAGCGCTACCGTGATATGGTACCAGACTTTCTGGGTCATCAAATCAAACAATTTTACATGCAAAGCATTTGGTTCTAGCAAGATGGGGCAACTTGTCACACAGCTACTGAAACAATGAATCTTTTGCGAACAATATTTCCGGGACGTTTAGTTTCTCGATTTGGTGACGTCAACTGGCCACCAAGGTCACCGGATTTAACGGCTCCTGACTTTTTTATGATTTTTGAAAAATAGGGTTTATGGCAACAGTTCAAATACTGTAGTGCAGCTGAAGAAAAATATTACGGAAGCTATTGAAAATATTGTCTAATATTATCTTTCATAAGTAATGTTTAAGTTTCAATAAAATATTAAGATGAAAAAAATGGACGTATTTTATTTCATTTCACAAATATTCAATTTACAAACCAGTCAGCTCACCATATATCAAGAATATCTGCAAGGCGTATTATGGTAAAAGACCCCAAATTAATAATAATAATAATAATAATATTTATTCACTCAATGTACAAAGATAACAAACAATATGAGTAAATAAATATAAAATCAAAACAGGCCCAATAGAAGGCATCGCCTGTACATGGACCAATAAATTTAAGTTGAAACTGTAGAATGCAAATGACAAAAAAGGACAAAAATTAGCTACAGTAGATTATGTATTTAGTTGATGTTCGTATTTATGAGTTTATGAATTTCAGTCCTAGATATAGAATGTAGCCACTTTTTTAAATTTCTTTTGAAACAATTTCCGAAACGTAAATCTTTTAAGTCTTTAGGTATAATTTCATAAAATTTAGGCGCTAAATAGAGATATGATCGCTGCATTATAGATTTATGCGGTTGAGGAACTACTGTGCCACGAATTTTGTACCTGGTATAATGATTATGTTTAATTTTTTGGTCGGTGTTTACAAATTTATGGTAGTGAGTGATACTGTGTAAGAAATAAAGTTGTCTTATATCATACATTCGAACATCTGCGTATAATTTTTCAGTGGGATAAAGTTTCGGTTTTTTAAATATCATTTTTGAAATACTTTTTTGAAAAACATCTAAATTATAGATATGTGAGGAACATGCAGCTCCCCATGCTAATATACCATATGTGAGATGAGGCTCAATCAGTGCATGGTATAATGTTCGAAGATATTTTTCTGTCAATATATTCCCAAGGCATTTAATTTTGTAGGATACAAATCTAACTTTCTTTAAAATATAATTGACATGGATGTCCCATCGTAAGTGAGGATCCAAGCCCACTCCAAGGTATTTTATGTTGGGCACTCTATTAATTTGCATTTTTTGATCATTAATATTGAAGGAGAAATTTGTGTAATTTGGCAGATGTCTAGCATAAGATCCAAATGGTAAAAAATGTGTTTTAGAGTAGTTAATGCTTAATTTTCTACTGTTAAACCACCGAATAATTTTGATAAAATCATTTTCGATTACATTTTTCAGATCAGACCAGTCAGTGCCTTCATATAATATTGCAGTATCATCTGCAAAACTAGTTATTTTGCCAACACAATTAATTTGGAAAATATCATTTAAATATATATTGAATAACAGCGGACCTAAGACAGTTCCTTGTGGGACACCACACTTAATATACATTTTTTTACTAAATAATCCTGATATCTGCACAGATTGTGGGCGATTTGACAAATAACTTTCGATCAGTGAGTACGCGTTTCCTCTGAAACCAATTCTCTCCAATGCTTCTAATAATAATTTGTGATTAACTGTGTCGAAAGCTTTCATTAAATCAACAAAAATGCAGATTGAAGGGATTCTGTTATCAATATTTTGATGTATTTGATTTACAATTTTAGTTATTGCATCCGATGTAGCCTTCCCTTCTGTAAATCCATATTGATTTTCACTTAAAATTTTGAATTTTGTGAGGTATCGAATCATTCTAGTAGATAAAACTTTTTCAAAAACCTTTGCTACACTGGATATTATTGATATTGGTCTATAGTTGTTAAC